ACATGTATATATATATATGTACACTTATCAACCCGCCAGGGTGCTTGCCCCTACAATAGATTCCTAAGCAACCCCCAAATGGGACAGACCGCCCAAAAATGATGGGCACTTGTTTAATGACAAGGCAACCCAAGGGTTAGAGGAGTCTGTCCTATCTGGGTGCCCCGGGGAAACTATCAGAATACCTTCTGCCAGCACTGTGGATCTAGGATTGGTAGCAAGAAGTGTGGTTGTAAACGCCCTGCATCAGGGAAGAAGTTAAAGCCCTATAAGTCCCTATACACCCGAATAGCATCACATGTAATCCCTTTAAAGGGGGATTTAACCCACCCTACCACTCCCTATGTACCCCTCTACAATCCCATATAACCCCTTTAAATGGATCCAAGAACTGCCTATGTACCCCCATACAAAACCCCTTCAAGAAAGACGAGTACTGACTGCTAACCCTAAACCCTATATAACCCATAAAAAAAAGTTTCCATTTTCTTTTCCATGATCCCCATATGACCCCAATATCGCCCTAACATTAGCCCAATGCGTACCTGTATCCCCTTAATGCGCAAGGGAAAGTGGGGAGCCCCGAGAAAACTTTCCGAACGTCGATCTCACACTGCAGCATGCCGAGAAAGAATTATCAACAAGGGTGAAGGGTTTGGGTGTTTTGGGTTTAGGGCTTAAGGTTTAGATATTTGTGGCTTAGGGTTACGAGTTCAGGTCTTGTTTGGGCTGAAGGTCCAGGGTCTAGAGTCATGTGGGTGGGATATTCCCCTAGCAATGGAGAATAGAATGCAAAAGGACATGAAACATCACATGGACAGCGGGTTTCGAGGGATTGGGGCTGCCGAAAGTGAGGGATCTCCTTTGTGGGGGTACCTATAAGAAGGATTATAATACTTTGGGATCCATGTTGGAGCCTCCAATTTATGGCAACCCCCTTATCAACAATTGACACATCTCGCACACGGCTTAGGGTTTTTAAGCTTGAAACACCCAATCACATACTTCCAGGGAAAGCCCTAAAGCCTAAAACCTAAAGCGCGTGACCCTCAACCCTTGCTCCTAGGTCCTAGACTCCTAGACTCACTTGCGGAGCAGACTATCCGGGTCTGAGAGTGGTGAGATGCACGCTGTAGGTCTCCGTTAGGAGGACCCTTGGACACCCCAATCTCTAGGCTACGAGTTTAGGGTTAGGGTTTAGGGTTTTTGGCTAAACTTTCAAACCGTAATTGGGGACTTCCCAAAAATATTGTGGGGGTCCCCATAATGAGAACTATAATATCTTGGGGTCTGTATTGGGGTCCCCTTATTTCGGGAAACTACCAATTCTCAACCCATAAATCCCAACAATCCCTCAAGCGGAGTCCTCCGTGCACACAGGGGCCTGCTCCTCGTACTTGAAGCCATTATCCATGAGGCCACCGCTGCAGCCCTGGTTGCCGAACTTCTTGGAGCAGTCCACCAGCCTAGGGGTGGTCTAGAATCCCCTCTGTGGGAGCTTCAAGAATTTCCAAAAGAAGTCGGGGCCTATTTGAAGTACCCTCGACCTTATTAGAATAAGTAGCGCGGGACTATAATATTGGTAATTATGTAAGCACCCACACCCCAGACTTCAGACCCTAATCCCTAAACCCTATATAAACTATATAAACCCTAGACCCTAAACCCTAGACCCCAAACCCTACAAGCCTAAACCCATAACTCTTAAACCTGAAATCTCTAATCCCTAAACCCTGTAGTCCCCCTCAAGTAAATAGAATATGGCTTTGGGTATATTACAATAAGATCCCCATATACCCCATTTTCTATCTACTTAAGGGGACTAGAATCCCTAAACTGTCAATCCCTAGACCCTAAACCCTAAACCCTTAATCCCTAAACCTTAAACCCTAAATCCTAAACCCAGCTGGGGTTTGGGCTGCTGCTCCGAGAGGGACACGAGCTTACCTGGGTTGCTGTTGAGGAACTTAATTTAAGTTACCATAATGGGTATATCCGGGGTACATAAGGGTTACCATAATGGGTATATATGGCAATTATGCAATAAAGTTTCTCCAATATAGTAACTTAAATGAAGTTCCTTATCAGCAACCCAGTTGCCCGTCGCAATGGCCCAGGCACCCTCCAGGGCACCTGGAAATCCCTCTTTTGGCGTCTAGGCTTCAGGGAGTCAGGTTTAGGTTGAAGGATTATGGTTTAGGGTTTAGGGCTTTTTGAGGGATTTTGGTTTAGGCTTGAAGCGATTAGAGTCTAGGGTCTAAAGTTTATAAGTTTATTTTGTCCCCCAAATGGCCAATGGCTTAGCCTCTCTTTTTTTATTACAGTCTCCATTTAAACAAATGTTTTCTCTATGGCCGCTTCTTTCCAGGGACCTCTAGAACAATCCCCACCTGATAGTTTCCCTTCGCTAGTCGACAGAGCTGGGAAGTGTGCTGTTGCCAACCTTGTGCCCGCCCAAACTCGGCAAGGATCCCCACATGGAGTCCGGCAGCTGGAGCCCAAGCCTGTTGATGGGTCATATTATCTTTTGCTTACATTGGAACGATGGAGATTCAAGCGGAAAAGAAGTGGAACATGCAATGAAACATGTAATGATCATATAGGGATAAAGCCTGTTCATCTTGAACTCATCCAGCGTCATGTCTGAGAACTCGTTCAAGCCCAGCTTGTAAGAGTGGCCTTTGGAATTCTCCCTCTGGATGTACTCATAGTTGTCAGCGAAAGCACCAAAGCGGGCCTGCTTCTCCACCTCATCATAATCCTTGTCAAAGTCCTGGGGAGGCAAGACTGAGGTCAATGCTTTGGGGTCTTACTTTGCGACCCCTATGCCCACAACCCCAAATCCCAAACTCGAAGCTCTAATCTATCCAAATAGTTTGGGAGGCAGATAGGGAACCTGCTTGGCGTTCACACCCTCGACGGACCTAGGGGACACATATTTATAGACACCTACAAACGTAGATATGGCTATGATATGTCGATTGCAGAGTCCCTGTTGCGGATTCTATATCTCGCAACAACCCACAACTCCACACCCTAACTTATCTAGCCCCAAAATTCAAAAACCATAAAGTCATAAAGCCCAAGCCCCACATCCCGGGAAACCTAATTCCTAAACCCTAAACCCCAAACCCTAAACCCTAAACCCTAAGCCCCTCCTTCAGGAACTGATCGAAGGCCTTCTGGATGTCCTCCCTAGGCTTATGGGCGCCCGCGAAGCCCAGCACACTCCTTATCCCAGAGTCTTACCGGTGTTTAGTTTAGAAGGGAATGTGAGTAGTGTTTTTTTTTGGTGG